GGCTAAATATCTTCTTGACCTCTGACATCTTTTGGAGGATGCCATATCCTTGTTGAACCTGTCATTCAAATTTTGAACTGTTTTGCTTAGCTTATCCAATTTTGTACCAATTTCCTTGCAATTTAGCAAGGGCATATTAACTATAATAGCTGTGAACTTTTCATTTCCTCTTTGCACTCACCTATTTTCTTCATCCATTCCAAGAACTTTTCATAGATTTCTGCTACCTGATATTTGTTTTCTTCTCCCTTTTTGGCTTCTTGCTCTGCCTTGAGAGAGGTGGGGGTGGGGTTCAGAGATCTTCTATTTCCTTGTTTCCCCATTTGCCTACTTGTATCTGTGTTTGTTTTTTATATATCTAAACATATCTTTAAAAAATTGTACATGCCTCTCTCTTTTTTCTCCTGTCTTTTTTTTGGGGGGGGTGGGGTGGGGTTGCTGGAGGTTGTTGGGGACTAGAAACATCAGGAGAGTTTGTGGCTCACATAAAGATTTCAGTAGAATGTTGCCTCCCTGTGAATAATTTTCAGCTTTGTATGTCCAGTGCTAGTATTTACTCCTTCTGATATTTACTTTAAGTGATTTTGTCTCTGTCCTTGTGTTTTGCTGGAAGAAATGCTTCCACAGATTCAATGTTACAATACTTCTATATTATAGTCCTTGCAGTTATTCTTTCCCCATTTGTCTGTTTTCTATGCACACTGTGCCAGTTTATTATCTGTGGTTGTTCTGCAGTGCGGTAGGTAACGTGGGTTGGGAAGAATGGGAGGTGGCTGGATGAGGAGTGTTAGACACTAACGGGGAGGTTTGAAGGGGAAATGGTGGTAGATGAGAAGAAAAGATTGATGTGGGTTCTGATTTTATTGGAGTACTTTTAGTTGAGTTGAGGGATTAGTATTGAGGGTTTTCAGGGAATATTTTGTGGGGGCAAGGGTGAGATATTGGAAAAAGGGGATTCTCTTTGTGTTTAAGGAAAGCTATGTGGTTATCAGAACTTGCTTATGGGGAGGACTGTATGACAGATAAGATATAGAGGAGCCAAAGGCTTAGGATAGGGAGGATCTAGGAATAATACTAGTGAGGACAGGAGTGACTTTGAGGGGGCTAAGAATGGTGGATTTAAGAAATTGGGAGGAGGAGTGTACGTGTTTAGAAAAAGAATAAAGAAGTATGTTAGTAATATTGTCTTGGGGTTTGAGGAGAGGAAATTAGATAAAGAGCTGAAGCGAGGGGGAGAACCTAGACATCTATTAAATCAGAATCAGTGGACAAACATATATACAAGAATAGCAACTTAATAAACACATGAAATCATAAAAGAACATAACATAACCCCATGTCACTAAATAGATCAAGGAACACAAAAACTTAAACCAGTAAGATGTCTGATGGGTACACAAATTAGATATTCCAATGAGACATTGCTTTTGTGATTCCCAAGTAGCCTCTTTGCCAGATAAGCTACTCAATACCCCAATAACTCCTCGGATCCCTCCACTGCAATACTAAAGTAACCTCAGACTCAGGACTTTTTTCTGCCAGGTTGCAGGCACTCTTGCAGAGTCTGATGCAGTGTGGTTCTTGGGTTAGGAACTCTTGTGTCCCCTCCCTGGGTGTAAGTATAGGGTTGGCAGACAAGTTCACTGACACTCAGTTGTCCACTGAGTCAGGATTATTCCTATGGAATCAATTCAACCACAGCAGTAACAGTCGAATCCATTGCAGTGGAATCTGGAAGGGCTAGTTGAGAAATAACATACCATGAGACCCGGTTTGGGGTCTCCCTTTAGTCTAGAGAAGAAATGCACTGCTATAGTCTGAGCATCATAACAACCCAAGTCTTGACCCACCATTAGTGAGCACTAAATGCAATGACTGTGTTTCTCCTACTGATGAAAAATATCATTCAACAGTAATTTTATAGAATCAGTTTTCTAATGCCCAGGGAGTTGGCAGATGGGGTAATGCCAGAGGGGTCAAGAAGAGAAATAGAAAAAAAGGAAACAAAATTTTAAGTCCTCTACTCTGTGGTATGGGAAGGAGGAAATAGGAGGAGGGTAAAGGGTCCTATTGATGTTATGGTATGTTGTTATATACTTAGAAAGGGGCAACAGGTGAAACTGTGCAAAATTGGTAGTGATAAAAGGAGGCAGAAAGATTCTATGATGATATGAATATTAGAGAAGAAGTTTAAGAGAAACAGTTGAAAAGGTGGAGAGAAGAAAAAAATGAAACAGTGAATATAACACAAGAGAAAGTGGTCAGGTTAAGAAATATGGGTAAAAGTAGGAGGGGATATAAATAAATGGGAGAATTCCCTTACCCTCTATACACTATAGTGGGAGAAGGAAAAAAAGAGAATAGTCAGAGTAGGCAAGGGACAGATACATAGACATGCTTATAAAAGAGAATAGTGTAAAATAATGGGATAAAAGTGCGTGGGAAAATGTACAGAAGTGGAAAACAGCAAAGAGTGAAAAATAAAAACAGAAAATAAAAAAATTAAAAGTAAAATAAAAAAATAATACGATCAAATAAAGAATAGTAAAAGAAAATTTTCAATTGTTTTGGATATGTGGCTTCTTTCCTCAGGCTCCTGGTAAGGAGCAGAGCTCCAGGCAGGGCATGTATTTGTCAATGAGGAAGACTATGGTACAGTCTGTGCCCAGAACTGTGCTGGGCCTAGAGGACTGCCAACGTGAGATCAATGCACCAGTGAGAGCTTCCAGTCCTGTGTGGCTCAGTTAAAAGTGGATTTTGGCTGCAGGACCCAGTGTATGATCACCCAGCCCCTGCCTCTCAGCTGGATTTCTGCCCAGCCTGCTCTCCAGCTGCTGGCAGCCTCCCAAGACTGTCCTTCCCTTGTCCACTCTGGGAACCTAGCAGTGTGAAGTGACCAAGGAACTATTCTGCAACCAAAGTTCAAGCACCCAGACCCTTCCTACAATGACATCCTGCCAGGTTCTGCCCTGCACAGCTGTGTCCTCAGACGTTGCTGCACCTGAGTCACCCACCCACCATTAACTGCAGGGTGGGGACTTCTGGGCCCAGGGTGCCTGGAACACCCTGTGTAAACCCTGTTTGTGTATGTAGGGGGACTGGAGTTGGGTGCCAGACAGAGACTCTGGTGGGTCTAGGATTGAAGCAGGGCAGTGAGAGAGCAGTGTAGGCTCAAGGGAGCCCAGGGTTCTGAGTATGGGCTAAAATCAGACTAGTGTTTCTTTCCTCTGTGTGCCAGATGAATGTCCCGGTTTGCCTGGGATAAACAGCAGGATCCCTCCCAGTGGCGACTCAGGAGTGTTCTGGGTCCAGAACTGAAGACTTCCAACATAGACAGCAGTCAGTCTTTTGTTTATCTCCTGAGTCTGAGAATAGATGAGCAGGTCAGGGGAGGGAGTAGCTCCCTGGTCACTGGCCCTTGGCGTGTGCCAGTGAAAAAAGCTGCCAGGCTGCAATGTCCTCTGTTCAGAGGCGGGTAGTGAGGCGAGGGGCCGTATACCCCAAGTCTGTTCTGTGTGGCTTGACTCTGCCATGCTGCTTGGATCCTGCTAGCTATCTGGGACCTTGGAAATGCAGTTCCTGTGTTGGTTGGACTGCATGGGCTCTTTTAAACTCCTATGCATGTGTTTGATCTACGAGTTTCTTCTTTCACGTTGATTTTTTGCATGAAGGTATATGCCCCTCCAATTAACTGTGTTTTTTAATGGCTTTTTTTTCGAAGTCTCTCCAGTGTGATTCCTCCTCTACTCAGCCATGTTGGAATCTGCCATTCTCATCAAAATGTTATTTTCTTTTCAAACAGAATTCTAAACCTAATATTTGCCTGGCACTGGGTAGTGACTATTTGAGAAATATTTATTGGCTCTCACCTGAAAGCATAGATTACAAATTGGAGAGTTACAAGACATGTTGCATTGCTTGCCAGATTCAGGTTCAAGCTTCTGCCTTCTATGATCATCCAGTGGTGACTCCAGCGTGTCATTCCACAGTCTACAATTCAAGTTACATAAAATCATCTTGACTAGAATGATTCATAATTTTAGTTCAAAGAAGGAAACTCTGGGATATCCTTTGGTTTCCTTTCCAAGGAATGGAGACAGCCTGAAATTCTATTCCATTCTCCCTGCTGGATCACAGCCACTGGGCAAGCTGCCTAAATCAAGGGTTTTGGATGTGCTAGGAGTCTTGAACTTGGTTAATCCGCTTGAGACCAAGAGTAACATCAAAACTTTTGATTACGCATTTTATTCCAATTTCTAAAATGTTCTTATGCTTATTTTTTCCCCAAATAATCCCTAAAACTGAACTCTACTTCCCAGTTTTACTAAAAATTCAGGAATTTTTATTATTTACTTTATTAGTATCACTGTATTAGAAAATGCAAGAGACAATGATGAGATTAAAAATAAGCTTAAATCATAAGGTTGCACTCCTTTTTCCATTATAGAGCTAAATTGCTGACACTATATTAAAATTATTGATTACACTTACTGCTTATAAAAAACTGTGAAACTATGTATTTTGATCTTTGTTTTTATGAATGATGCAAAAATGTATCAAGAGATCAATTAAATTTATTGGAATGATATATTTGTTAATTATGGCAGTACAAAAAGAAATATTCTTTTTAGAATTAAGCCAAAAGAATCCCTACCGTTCCTCCTTTATAGACTAGTTCTGTGAGGATGTGTAATTAATGAGAAAGAAATTTATGACTAACTCTGTAGAAAAGGATGTTTTTAAGTTTTGAAACTAGGTAGCCTAGTTATATAATTGCCTCTGATCTCTAGGCTGATATTTTACTGTGCTATTTCTTTGCTTCTTACTCTAATAAAATATTAACATGGTGAGCTGATTTCTCTATCAGAGACAGATTGCTCAAGCATAACTGCTCGTTTCTTCATTGATGACATGTCATTTAACTAGGTAGAATGTCTAAAATGATGCTGTACTCTTCTCTCTTTTCACTTCCAATCTTGGTTCCCCACTCCCCATTCTAGCAATACAAGACCAAGTCCAGCTACAAGGTTTTCGCTGCAATCCCTACAAACACATTGCTTTTGGAACAGAAGGTTAGTGTTGGTTCAAAAGCAGAGTGAATTTTATGTTTCTAATATGGGTTTTGTTATGTTTTCCAAAATTTTGTTTTGGAAGATTTATGTTTAAAATTCTGCCTTTACTAAAATAAAACAATGATTAAGTTGATTTGATGAAAGCATCTTGATTAATGTAATTGGAGACATGATTATCACTGGAGATCAGATCTAAGTTTAGAGATGTCTAGCCCAATGTAGGAAGCTTGATTCTCACTTGGATAGACACTATTCTTTTGGAATTTTAACCATTTGCTATATTCAAGAACTTTCACCCCTATTCATATTGATCAGGAGTTCAGTTGCAGTGGGGTTATGTGGGCAGTTGCCATCTTGGTCACTGACTGGTCAAGATTTGATGGTTAACAATGGATCCACCACTATCCCATATGGACACTCAGATCCTATGGTTGACCATCCAACTTAGGCCCACAGATCCTACCATGAGTTAAAATGGTGTCCATTCTTGCCTACCACTGTTCTTACTCCATGAGCAGGAGGGAGGATTGAGATCATGTCTAATGACTCAGCTGCTTTCATGTGTCTCTAGAGCATTTTCATTATAGGAATCATTAATTATAATATTACAGATGTTACTTCAGGAGGTACATCAAGTGAAAGTTTCTTGTCTAATAAGCACATTACACATGCTCAAATGAAAGCTAAATGAAGGATGCATATCAACATCAAAGTTAACAAGTTTGTGAAATGATACATTACACATATCATTTTTTATGATGATTTATCTAGGCTACCTTTTAGTGCATTAAGTCCACCTTTCCCTGTGTCCTTATTATGTTTCAAATATTTTTACTATCATTTGTCAAAAGGTTAATATTTTCCAATCAGGTGATGTTTCAATCACTTTTTTATGATTCTACATTCCTGTTCTTTTGGCATGATCTGGAGAACAAAACCTTTCTATGAGCTCTTGTCTAAGAAGTTGGAATTGTTGGTGCTAAGTAGCATCTAGGTGAATCTTAAATGAACAGCATTTCTTATATATCTCTGGTGATATCTCCAAATCATCACTGTTTATGTATCTAAATGCTTTGATCTAAATGTCATTGGGCTGCAGAGCTATTTCAGATGTTTCTCTAGATTCTGTCCTGAATTTCTACCTTTTTTTTTTTGGTACCGGGGATCAAACTTGGGACCTTGCGCTTGTGCAGCAGGCAGTGAAACCACTGAGCTAAATCCCCAGCCCGGAATTTCTACCTTTTGTATGTCAAAAGATGAGATGGGACTAAAATGTCAGGAGCATGTGAAAAGTGGGACTTTCCCAACATCCCCTTGTTTCCCTGTCTCTGACTGGTGTCCCTGGGACATAGTCACTGATGTCTGCCTTCTCAAGCACAGGGTAATCTTCCTCAGGAGAGGCAAAGAGGAGGTCAGAAGCCTGTGGTGTCTCAGTGTCACTCTCCGGGGAGTGGCTCTCCTGGAGCAGGACAGTGCTCCACTGTTAATTAATTCTCTGTTTAGAAAATTAGTCCATCCGTAAAGTCTTTGTGACATAGGCTGAGTGTCAAGATTTCTTCTAAAATTTCTGTTGATGGGTTGTCTTCTGGATTTAAGAGGTTATAATTCACCAGTCCTTATAAATGAAGAATCATTGGTTTAATTTCCAGTTTCATCACAAACTCACTTCATAAATGTGTATGATGATATTGATATATATATATATATATATATATTTTCAACCTATATGTCAGGTTTTCTGTTTATAATTTTAAATAAAATATTTTTTCAGGAAAATTATTTTTATTTTGATACAAGTAAGTGTAAATTTCATGACATCTAATTTAAAATAATGTCATGGTAAGGGGGAATGGAGTATTACATAAATGCTCATAGAAATAATTGTCTTTTGGTGAAGATATAGGTAACAAGATATAATGTGAATGATTTTTCTACTTCAGCTCCTTTGTATAATTTTGCATATTTCTTTTTACTAAGCTTTTCCTTGGTATGTGTTCCACAATCAGAAATTTTACTTTGTAAGAATTTTTAAATAACAGAAACCTAAAGATTTTATTTCTGTTTTTAATAACATTTATTAGTGATATTGTGCTGCTCCTTTCAGTGATGTTGTTTTAAAAATGAATCTGCCAATTTAGCCCTTTTATCCATCTGTTTCTGCAGTAGAATTTATTCTATGTCATTGAAATCAAAGGCATTTGTTTGTGAATGGAGTGGGAAAATTAAGACTATAATCTTCAGAAATTAGTCTATTTTGGGAGAATCAACATTTTGGAATATTTTCAATCCCAGAAGCTTTTCTGAGATTTCCTTGACATCATCCAGAACATGAGTACAGGGCAGGATGGTGCTGCCGTCTCATTATGATACTTGGTTAGGGTTTACGCAGCAAAATGCCTTGAAGATAGAACTCACATATATAATTCATGCCTTAAATATTTCAATAATTAATTCTCCAGCCAGATTATACCCATACTGCATATTTAACACCATGTTTTGTTCCATAGTATATCGCACAGTTAACAAGAAACTGGAATTACTTCTTTAAAAGTGTACTATTTTTAAAAGCAAGACTTTCTGCAAACTGAAATAGGAGTAGCGCTTGCAATGAGAGAGTAAGCTGTCATTAAATTACTGGATTGGCTTTGGCTTTAATCATCCATAAATGAATCATTATTTTCAAAAGAGTGCATTTTGTTGGCAGGGGACATGGGGCTTCTGGTCCTTCTGCTCTGTAATTCATTGTCTACATCAAACTTCAATTTATAGGTTATTCTGTATTCTATTATTTTTCCCCTGTAAGCATTTTTTGGAAGAAGCATTTTTAGCATAGGTCTTAACTAAGGCTTTATAAGATGGGATAAATGTAAGACATTGTATTTTAATGTGCTGATATCCATGTCTTTAGCTTCAGCTCTTGCCAGTAATCACCCTCTCTAATATAGCTGTCAGGATGAAATACAATGACTATAAAGGAATCAGATCAACTTATATCTGTTGTATGTTCTACAATCTACTGTTGTATGTTCAACAATATCCTGAGGTTTGTACACAAAATGTAGACATTACTGTTAGTCTCAATGCTGGCCCCATTGTCTTTCAAGGAAAAATTTCTCTCTCTTATTGATCAATTTTTCTTTTCATCAGAGTCTGACAGCAATAAGCAAAAAGTAAAATTAAACTGAGGATGCATATTAATAATGCAAGTAAATTGTTTGCTATTTTTATTGTATGATTATTTTAAGAAGAGGAAAGATGAAAGAAAGGATATTTACGCCAGGTCAAGCAGCATGTATTTTTATTGCCCTACAAGTCATTAACATTTTTCCATGAAAGAACTATTTTCCCTTAAAAGTAACTCCAATTTTCTATTCCTTTTCTTACAAGTATTCATTTACAAGGATAAAATCTACCTAGGGTTAGGTTTAATTTTTCCCAATAAATTTCATTTTCACTTGTCATTTCAATGTACATTTAATTTGTAAGCATATGTATCTTTGACAGAACAGTTCTAGAGCAGCACAATTTTATACATACCAAATAAATGTTATAAGATTAATTGCTTAAGTAAAAGTTAAAGGATACCCCCCCATGGTAGGAAGGAAGATAAAGAATAGCTATTTTGAAGACCAGAGTAAAAACTGTGGTATAAAAATAGAAAGCAAAGATTTTATTTATCTTGTCAGTTTTCAAATTAATTATTCTAAGTTGTTTAATTTTTTAAAGCATGAGTTGCTAAACTCCAATCTGAGTAAACATATGTCTTTGGGTGAGAATATTTTAAGAACTCTGCATGTCTCAAAAATTTATAAAACATGCACATGATCTATTCTATCACTTAGTTTAGATTAAGTGATCACTTAATTTAGATTAGTACAGTAGGCAAACAAACATGTTCCCATATTTTGATAATGAAAACATGTCCAGAACTCAAATCTATACAAGCTGGTCACCCTAAGTACCATGTGCATATCTATTTTAAGCCTGTTATCATGTCACATTTAATTATGCATACTGATTGATTCTTTTCCCTACCAGGAACATTTCAGGAAATACAGTAGTTTCAATTCAAATGTTCATTGAGTGAATTAATTTAGTTTGGGGCTGGGTGGGTCTTTAAATTTCCAATTTCATTAATCAGAACTTTAAAGCAAGCTTTTACTCAGGATTGTGAAAATAAAATGGCCTAATATATGACCCTTGAAAAAAGAAATAACAAAGATTATTTTGGGTAGAATAAGTATCATCAGTTCTACTTCTGTTGAAAAGCTATCACAGGCCTCTGCTGGAGGGAAAATCAGTTGATTTTACATTTGGTGCCTATGGCAATTAGGCCACATGTGTCAGGCACCGAGCTGCACACCTCATCGTCTTCACAACTTGTGATGCGTGAAGAAACAAAGAAAATTCTCCAGAGCAGGCTGGCTGGTGTGCTGCTGGCCTGGCCCTCCACTGAGGACTGGACGTGTCCTCTCTGGTGCCTGCTCACTTTTCTCTGGGGACCGCAGAGGGCTAAAGTAAAATGCTGAGTCCTGGGAAGTGAGCATGCTGGATCCTTCTCTACAACACTGTTTTGAATTCCTTGCTAAAGTGTGTTTAAATCCTCACTATGTTAGAGTAACGAAACTACTTTCTTGTTATGAAGAACAATAAAGGGAACTGGAGATAGCTTTGCTCTGAGAAGGCTTGGATGAGCCAGAATTATAAACCAGAGGTACTGAAAGAGATGAGGTGCTGGCTTTGAATAAGGAGCACCCCTTTGACACCCTTAATTAAATGAAGACAATGTATGGGTTCCTCTGCCATAAAACCTTGGTGAAATAAATTTGAACCACTTATAACAGTTGAGAAAATGAACAAACAAAATTCCCTTCTGTGTCAGAGGAACAGGCATTTAATCATCCAAAGCTCTTGGAACTAAAAAACATCAGGTTCCTAACTTCTTGAAAGTTTTAAGTCAATCATATGAAAATATCATATAAAAATAATCTACTGAAAAA